ATAGGCAGTCGGGTGATGTGTGTTGGTACACAAAGATTGTTGTGCCAAATTGACAAATCAAGGAAATACTAGCCAGAGCCTCTACAGCATTGAGGGTACTGACAGCATTTTAGTTATCTGAGACTCCAGCTTGCGTGTTTTTGTATCCTTTTCTCTGTGGTCACATAACTCTGCTATTGATAACTTGTCATTTGTATTTTACTGACTTGGCTGTTCTTAATAAAATTGTACTACACTGTAATCAGGAAAAGTTAATATTACATTTAATATAATTTAGGTATTGTTTCCACCATTTCTTCGTGCAAGCTTACAGTTATGGTTCTATTGTAGCCTATATTCTTGTATTTTATATTCCAGTATATTTTGTTACAGAATACAACCAAGATAAGAAGCATTTCCTTTGGTTATGGCCAGCAGACGATTCATGCATTATTTAATCAAGACCTTTTATGTGTTCAGAACAGTATAATTTTCATATCTCTAGTAAATGTAATAGCAAATTAATGGAATATGTTCCAGTGAGCATGTGTGGAAACTATTCACTTAGAAGAACCAATTCACCTTCATTTCCTATATATTCTAACCTCTTTGGAATATTTTTATAACACCCTGAATTATCAGGATACTTCCCGGTCTAATTTGTGGAAAAGAAATGGATCAGGAGCTGTTTGACCTTACACCTTTGTGATTCTTAAGCAGGCTACGCAGCCCTGAAAGCTAATTCAGTCTGTTATCATTCTCTAAAACCCTGTTGCTCCACTATTTCATTATGGAGTTATTTTATATTCACATGCTCACAAAGTTAACCTGTAGCAACCGACCTGTCTATGTGCCTGTTAAGTTTTACAAAGAAAATACTTGTGTCTTTGGAGAAAAAAGAAAATAACAGATTATTTCATTGCCAAAAAATTCAGTATTAGACTGCTGAGGTCTTGGTAGTTTGAGGTCACTTGGTATGATATTTTAAATTATTGAAAATGCCTTTCTCCTTGCTTATTGCTGTAACATAAGCAATTTGTATTTTTCAGTGATAACCTGTACATTAATAGCATATGCAACTCAGTCTGCAGTCTTCTTTATATCTGCTGTGCAATATAAGGGTTAAGTCTTCAGTGGACATTATGAATAATCAAACACAGATTTGAAACACATAATTCAGAATTTGTTCCATAATGTATGAAACCTTTCCATTACAATGAATTCAGTGAGTCTATGTGATCTCATTAAGGGCATTAATGTGACTAAGCCTCAAATCAGAGATTTTCTGCTAAGGAAATTAAGAAATAATAAAGCAGGTGTTGCAAAAACCATATCTAAAAACATGCTAATTCATGATGTCATGTCACAATCCAACATTAACATACAGAGAAAACTCTGTTAAAAAAAAAAACTGTGTTAATTAGAATTCTTAATTTGGCATGATTTTATTATTATTCCTTAGTGTCTGAACAAAGTTCAGTACTGTAGCTGTGTAATGCACAAAAAAAACACAATCATTGCATTCATATAGTTGTTGTAAAAGAGGTTGTCTCTGCTTTGGGTCTTGAAATGGTTAAACTGTTGGTCATGTCTTTACACAGTGTTTCATCACCCTTTGACCAGGTTAAGTTGTGCAAGCTGTGCAAGTAGCTGGCTGACAGGTTTTGATTTTAATACTCAATGAGCATAAATAGCCATGGTTAAAATAAAGTCAAACACAGATAAGTGTTGCATCTCAGTCAGATGATTTTTTTTTTCTGCAGGACTTTTAAGCAATATTGCTGCATTTTCACGGCTTTGCTCAGTCACACGAGCAGAAAGTTCTGTACTAGTTGAAGGGAAGTTGCCAAACCAGAGGAACACAGCCAAGCCTATAGAGTACAAATTGCAGATGTTTCCATCCTGGCAATCCATAAAAACGAATGGGTTTTTAAGTCTTTAAGAGCCTTAAACTGAGAACTATTGTTGTAAACTGCTTTTTACATAATGATTTTAGTCATTTTCCTTCATCTCACTCTACATAAATTCTTATAGCAGTACTGAATCTTGCAGTGGGTCACGATTGTGTTGAATTTTGGTACTCACTATTTATACAGTACCAGACCAGCAATTGTAGGTTTTCTTTAGTTCACTCAATAAGTCCCTGATCTGCAGCAGAGATTCTCAATATATTGCATGAGGCACCCTTCTGGATCCTCAGAGACTGGGGTAATACAAATTTAATCCTATTACTGTATTGTGGCTTTATTTACCCCCTGCCTGTGATTTCCTTTTATTTTGCATGTTCGTATGTTCTCCCTTTGTTCATGTGGGTTTCTTCTGGCTGCTCCGGTTTTTGATCAAGATTTTGAAATTTCTCATCACTTTTAATTAAACATTGCTATTTAAAAGCTTGACTTATTCTCATTCAAAGTCAGCTGCACTAACGGCCATTAAAGTAGTGAAAATAGTAGAAAACACTCCAGGAACTTTTAGTAAATGATTGATGCCATGAGATGCAAATATGGTAAATATGGTAAGAAGTATTTCACATCTTTTTCCCCTTACTCATTGCTTTTGTAAATATTGAATACCAGATGCAGGTCACCCTTAGTCTCTTTATGGGACATAGTGTGTAGGACATTCCTTTAAGCAGAGCAGCATTAAGTACTGATGATAACAGGAGATGAGACGTTACCCCCACCTCAGTCAGTGATCTCCTCATTCTTTTAAGGAACAATTTTTGCTAGGGTGCTGTAAGACTGTTATCTGAATAAAAGTACAAATCCCTCCACTGAGCAAGCAGGGGCTAGATTCTCTGCTCTCTTCAAAAAGAGCTGTGTGTGTTTCAGAGGTATTTGAAAATAATATTCTGGGGTATGTCAGCACCTTTTGTGCTATATCTCATATATCCTATGCATCCTCTTAGTGCACAACTCTCTTTGGGCCAGAGATGGATTTGCCCAGGATTTACTTCTTTCAGGAGTCCAGTTGGGTTGTTCCATTCAGATGCCTCCAATAAAACAATTATTCACGTTTCTGTATCTTTCCACAGATTTGATTGCTATGATGAAGATTTGAAAATTAATATCGACAGTTTTCTAGCTGCAAGAGTGTTTTAAATTGGGTTTTTTTTGTTTCATGTGACAGACAGTACAATTTAGAAACATGTTGGTCAATGCCGCCATTTCTGCCCTCACAGGATGTGCTTGTTGATCCAAAGAATGCAGCAGCAGACCGGCTAATTCAGCCAATTCTGAACTTGAACTCAAGCTCAAACTCTTTTTGTGCTTTCTTCTTCCCATGACATCTCACAAACTCTAGATATGAAAGCCCACTAAATAAAAATGTGGAGGACAATCAATAAATGACAGGCAGTCATACTGGTAATCTGTTCAGAATCTTCATCTTTAGGATAAATTTAAGTAGCAGTTTACTTTTTCAAAGAATCCAAGATATTCTCACGGGGAGAAAAAGCAGTGGAGCTCCTATTTCTGCGCTTCTGCACATCAGTTGCTTCCTATTTTCAGTTCCAGAAACAATCTGCACTCCACAAACACTTCAAATACCATGTTTTGCCTTTGAAATGTAATTCGGTAGTCTGGTAGAAGGGGTGTATGATTGGCTGTGTAAGATATGCTGAAAAAAAACATTTATGACACTTGGCCTTTGAAGGCTGTTTGAAATGTGACATTTCTGTGAGAAGGCTTAGGGTCTGAAAGTCAAGACTGAGTGGGTGTTTAGTGCTGCAGTTGGGTTGTCTCTGTTCCCTCAACTAATCAAGCACTTAATGCTGTTGCAGGTTTTTATCCATTAAGAAAAAGCTTTCTTAAAACAAGACTAAATGGCTCCTTTTGTTTGTGATTATCTGCTGAAAACAATGCACTGTCCCAGCACTACAGAGCAATATGACTGGCATTTGACACTAATGATGGGGAAATAGAAGAAAAATTATGTCAAAATTATGTACACTACAGTGTACATGCAGGCACCACTTCCAAGAGAAATATATTCACACTTCTACTGTTTGTGTTTTGCTTGATTCTGTCTTCTAAACATCTTCATGATGTACAGTACAAAATACAGACAAGATACAGCATGGTGGCTCCCAAAATGTAGTGTATATCCATTTCAACACTTAAATTTTTAATCCAAAATTTTAGTGGACCTTATGGAACTGTTTGCGTTAAAGATTCTTCCAGTCTACTTTGCTGGACATTGTGCTAGATTTGGTCGTCTTTTTCAACAGTGTGAATCTGAGACATGTTAAACATAGAACATACCCATTTATAAGATCTTGAACTTGCAATGTGCAACGTCATGTTTACATTGTCTTGCCAGAGGGGATAATAGTTATTTGTGTGTAATGTGATGTGAGTATTCTGAAGATAGCAATTCGTAAAAGGGAATGGTTTCAGACATGTTCACTCCAAACTGTTCTTGTTCTAGGTTTTGTGGATAGTGAAATACATTTCTGTTGGGGGGTTCTGGTGGGGACTCCCCATTCTGCCTTTGACAGATATAAAGCGATGCTTGTTAAACATTGTGTGGACATCCAGCCTTCACTCCCAACATAGGAGATCCCAAGGGGGTCATTGTATTCCCTAAATCAAACGAAAGAGACGTTGACATGAACAGATACAAAAAGTATCTTTTGTGGAGTTGTCTTGTGTCAAACAAAAAAGAATAGGCTAATGTACATAAAGGGAAAGGGCCCCGGCTAGCTCTGTTGGTAGAGCACGGGACTCATAATCTCAGGGTAGTAGGTTTGTGTCCCACGTCGGGCACCAGGTCCTCCATGTTGGAGGCTGGGCACAAGGCTAACAGCCCTTAATGTTATGGAAACAGCAACAGGATGTTGCTGCCCCAATGTGCCAGAAGGCATAACGGGCGAAAATCCATCCATCCATAAAAAAGGGAAAGGTGTGCATAATTGCAGGATGTCAAAATGGCTTTTCAATGATCTGGAGTTACTGTACGTGTGTTTTGTGTCAAGTGTCAAGGTCAGGCACTAACTCGAGGTATCACTTGCTCATTTCCAGGTATCCATCGGCCAGATGTATGCCACACAGAAGATTGTTGTTGAAGAACACAGAGGCAAGAAAACCATCTGAGAAGAAAACATGGTTGAACAGCTGCAGCATCATTCCAACAGCAACATAACTTCTGACACACACAGAAATGTGTCACTGCCTGTAGTCTGTAAAAAATTCAGACTGCATGTCTCCTGGCTTCATAGTGCCTTGGGCTTTTTCAGGTTCAGTAGCTCCGGTGTTTGCCTAAAATTAACTACTCATCACATGATTAGATATTGAACAGGACGAGACATACAAACTGTACACTTGTATGTTGTTAAACCATCAAACTTTGTGTCTTTGCTCTTTTCAAAATCCTTTCAGTTTTATTTTTTGTTAAATGAAACCCGGCGTAATAAAAACAGATGAGGAAAATTGGATACATTGTATTTTTATTGTATTTACACTTTTCTGTCTTCAGCCTTTCATTTGAAAAAAGTGTGAAATTTTAAGTGGGATGTTTCAGTGTTGCTCAAACAGTAAAAGCAATTGTTGAGATTGCATGTTGAGCTTTCACGTACTCGGTACCTGTGAAATGTGAAGTTACCAGATGATAAAACATCACAAACAACACTTTTTATGTTGTATTCTAAAGAATTCTGTTAATGTAAAAGATTTAAAACATAGTATTTGACAAAAACAGCATTGCACAGAGCAGCTGTTGCTGTTGAGCCGAATAGTTGCTTCATTCACAGTCACACAGATATACAGTAATTAAATCCTGCATTTAATGAGCTTTTCTCAACTCTAATTCAGGAGAGTCATTATCCACAACTTTTTTGATAAATGTGGTATATTATCTGTTCAACTAAATGAAGAGTGGTGAACCCTTATTATTTAATTTCTGAAGGGTCCCAGTGTTTAGTATTAAACATCATGTTTTGGGGAAAACTACAGTATTCCTTTAACCACCAAGTGAATATAAGATGTCATGATGGTCCAAGTGGTTCAACGGATAGAGGAGCTGGCTGAATAAATATAATGATCTTCATTGCCCAGCACAATGGTGAATCAGTTGTTAGCTTTGCTGCCTCGTAGAGCTGGGATCCTGGGTTCAGGTCCTGGGGTGCCATCTGTGTGGAGTGTAGATTCTCCCTGTATTCACATGGCTTTTCACTCTGGTTTCCTTCCACAGTCCAATCCTGTACTGGTAGATTAATTGACTTGTGGGAAGGTTGGCCCTGCTGTGAGTGTGTGTCTGTGTCTGTCTGCCCTGCGATGGAATGGAGTCCCGTACAGGGTGTACCATTCTTTGCGCCCAAAATGGATGGATGTTCATTGCCATTTAGATCTTACTTAGAATTTCCAGATAATATAAAATCTGTATTCTTACATAATTTGGTATTTCCATATAGTACATCTGTCATTGTTTGATGTACTGTAGTTCTGTTGGGTAGCTGCGTCGGCATGCATAGTCTGCAAAGGAAAAAGTAATAGGTTTATTCCATGCTGAAGAAGACTTCACTGCCGAAACGTTGTGTTTTCTCTTTTCTCTTTTAAGCATGGAATACACCTACAGTATTACTTGGTCCATTGTTTAATGTTTTCAGGTGCTGTCATACTGTTCCACATTTAGTTCAGTTCATATTCAGTTTCTTTATAGTGTCAAAAAAGATAAGAGAGGCTATTTCCTCATTCAGACACTGCAGCCAAATTTCCTGTTTAGGTTAGTTGATTTCAAAATGAACTGTTATTCTTTTAGCACAAACCACATACTGTATAAATGAATTCATTCAGTGGGCTAAAAAGGGTGCAGTTTGTTAATGGAAAATGTTCCATTTTTATTGTCAAGATAAGATGAAATTGGTTGAAATGCCATTTGAATAAAACCTCCTTGATGTTTGGTCTTGGGTATTGAAGTGGAAGAGTGCTCAAAGAAATATGTTGCAAAATATGACCTACCATACTGTAGTTTATCAGAAGACTAGATTTTAAATGGTTACTGGGGTTTGGCTTTTAGACGTATATGGTCGCTGTGACCATCATGGTGGGCACGCACGCACACACACACAAACACACAATTTTAAGACTACAATTAAATTAACTTGCTCGCCTTTGGAAGATGGCTAGAAACAGGAGTGCTACAGCATGGATTTGAACCCCCAGATCCATGAGCTGTGAGACAACACCACTAGCCTCCACCCCTTATTTCAAAACACTGCCTATTCTTCTTGTATATGCCCTGTTGTCATCACCATAGAGCTGCATTTGAAGAGCAATGACAATTTATTGAGCTCAACCGCCTCAACAATTCCTCACTCTTCATTGTTGACTGACTCAATTCATTATTCATTCACACCAGAGGAGGAATGAGAACTACAGATACTTTTCACTGGAATGTATACTTTCAAGAGCCACTTATTTCTTTATCACACTGTAAACCTAGTCAAAATCATATGGAATAGTGTAGTATCTCTCCTTGACAACACTTGACACTTCTTGAAAAATTACAAGGAATACTATTTTGCACCAAAACAAGGTACCACGACTAACCAGTACAACTACTGTAGTTTGCAGTAGCTGCTTGAAGTATTCCAGTCACATCTGACTGATGATGTTACCCTGGAGTGTTTCAGATAATCTCTGGCTTCAAGGGATCAAACTGTACTCTAAGCACCTTTATTAATAAACACCATTGTGTTTCTTTTTATAGATTGTCCATACTGTCAATGTACGTTAATATGAGCACATCTACTTTAAATATAGTAGGACAGATGCAAAATTCATACAATTAATTCAAATGTTTATCTACAAAAGCCTTTGAAGTGTATGTAATCATGGCTTGCTAAAGTATGAAATCTCAGACCCAGGCTATTGCTTCATTTAAATTCATTTAAAAATAAAGCAGTGATGGTTGATTGTAGGTGTAGGGTAAGGAGAAAGCAATTTTAAATAATGATAGAATTGTTAGAGAAACTTCATCATGGCACCTTCAACACATTGAAATGTTTAAAAAAATGTCTTCTTACACTACACAGCTTTATATACTGCGTGGTATATTTTTGTTCCCAGTAAAATAGCATGATATTCAACAAATCGGCGATAATTTTACGTGTTTTGTTATTTTTTTACTGGTGAGTTCTAGACTCCCAGAACACCCAACCAGTTCCCAAAGCCACTTGGCCATGGATGGGCTTAAGAAATCCCAGCTACAGCTGGCAGGGAATGAGCCTGAATTTAAATGAAATGTCTACAGATTCTGTCCTACCTCTAACTCCTATTTTGAGTTTCTTCCTGTCATTATTTACATAACAACATTTTAACAGATTGATGATTTAATGCAAAGCAAGTAATAAAGAGTCCTATCATGACCGTGTGTTTGCAGAGACAAAAATGCCCCAGTTGCCAAAATGTCTCTCTCTTTTGAAGAATTGTCTCAAAGATCTCTTAAGGGTTGTGAACACTTGCTTGTGACATCGACAGTAGTACTAAGTGATTAAGAGATAAGATGGAGGTTTCAGGGGTGGAAATGTCAAAATCAAGTTTCAGGAAGTCAAATCAAATTTATTTACTGGCAGTGCCTATATACTGTACACATACTGTCTTCTGTCATTTGGTTCCTACTAACTGTATAGTATTTCTATTTAGGCTTGATGATGAAACATGGTTTCATGGTTATTTCTTAGCAATGATTGCTAAAACTTCCTAGCCAATTGTGTCATACCTATTCAGTTACTTACTGTATATTTCTAATGTCACAATATTAACATCTGAGTTATGGAGAAAGCCTAACATTTTGAGTGTGAACATCTGCCCTTACAACCTGGTTTACCATGTTGATCAGAGTTCCTTCTTACTATGCCAGTATAGTAATTACCATAGCATGAGTGTCATGAAATATCTCTACTTTAAAGAATTACCAATTCAATATAAGGATTGGTTATATTAATTTCACTTAATCTGATTATTTAACTTATTCTAGAGTAGCTTTAAAATAGCATTTTCTGACAGATCAATAAGATAAGGAGTGCTTTCCGTTTGGGCACAATAATACAACATATTACTGTGAACTTTCAATTGAGGGGAAAGCATTAAAGTTTCAATGAGAATGAAATAACATTGAAGTTTATTTGTAAAGATCAGATTGATTAGTTGGAGTGGTCAAGGCGATGCCGTGTAGCAAGCTGAAAGGTTCTCTTTATAAACTGACTGCCCTACCATTGATGTTCCATGTGATTCTCCCTGTTTTATTATAGTAGATGATTTATCTTGGCATTTGAAAATGTATCACTACAGCTGAGCAACAGCTGTGATCTAAGCATGTAAAAGAAATATAGCCAACCACTATATTAAAAAAAACATTTAAAAAATAAAAAAATGAAAAGAGCAATCCAGTTAGGTGTTCACTGAGAAAGACATCAACAACCTGCCTCAGTCAGTGGAAGAACAAAGATCTGTATTGAACAGTATTAACATAAAAGAGGCAGAAGTATTTTGGATACTGGACACCCTCAAGATTAACAGATCTCTGTGTCCTGTTGTTATACTACTAATTGTACTAGAAAAAGGCCTCTTATGCTACATGTGTTTCCACACTGGGCAGTTTGTTCCACAGTGTGGATGTTGCACCCGTCCATACAAAAGGGAACAAAACCAAGACTGACTTTTGTTACATTCTGTATATTAAGGTTACAATAATCTAAAAAAAATATTAGATCTAAGCAACAGGATTACCTGCAGTATATGGAAATATGATCCTAGGGGATCTTAGGATGAATTTAGAAAAGGGTACAATGGACAGACACTAAGCATGTTATACAAAATATTTAAATTTTCAAAAGTTTTGGGATAAAGTGCCCCATTGAGATTTTCAGGTGACTGTCAGAAGGCACCCATACTTAATTTTTGCTTAGTTTGCTACTGAACAGGCTAGATGGCTACATGGCTTTCTCTTGTTTGTGACTCCCTCGAGTTCTCTGATGTTCCATGATTTAAACTGTAGTGTCTAAACTGTTTAAACTGTATGTCCCCTTGGCCAAACTTTTTTGAAGATGAAAGTCTCTGATCTTTCAAGATAATACCGGCTGAGTTATTCAAATCAGCGACCTACAGCACTTACACCCTCATGAGCCACACAGCCTCCTTTCCTTTGTGACTTTTCCTATGCTGTTAAACCTTTTCTGCGTTTGGAGGCATTATATTACACTATATGCATCTAAACTTGCCTTCATTTTAAAATAAATATATTAACATAAAGAACACAAGTTTACGGCTTCTGTTCTCAAAATACTTTTATATCATGTGACTTTACTCACATTCGCATGAATCCATGTACAGTACAGTACAGTACATTGCTGCCTCACAGTCCTGGGTCCTGGGTTGAGCTCTGGACCTGTGGTGCTATCGACGTGGAGTTTGTATGTTCTAATCATGTTCATAT